GCTCCGTCCGACGTGCGTCTTTGTCAGAGCTCAGTCGTGATGCGAGAATGTGTCCGTGTGTATGTGCCAATACGTGTGTGCGTGCGTGTGTATGTGTGTGTTTGCGGGCACAATTGTCAGGCACAAGGTCATGAAAGACTTTAAGGCTCGAGGAAACGTCCTTGAATTTTCTGAAACTGCCCTTGAATTTCTCACGATGGGGAATTTAAATTCCGGGGGTTTGTTTCCTGGAACATGTGTTGTACCTTAATCCAAACCTTCGTGTGAAAATGTCCAGCTCTGCTCACAGAGCTACGTCACTCTTCAACTGTCATAGGATCAACAGGGAGCACTTCATTTAACATTTGGCCAAAAATAATGTGGAAGAAGTTCAAAATGAGGTTCCTCACAAAAATAATGACGAATAGTTCAAGAAAATGGTTCAATTAAAAAATGTAAAAGGTGTAAAAAAATGTGAATGTTAAGAAAAAAAATGTAAAATTAAAGTGTTAAATGATTAGACATATTCTTCAGTAATAGGTTAGGGTTGTAGGTTCCATTCCTCTGAACCTTCTGCTCTTCATCTCTTCCGTCACAGGAACATGTACACGTGAGGCTGCTCACACACACACACACACACACACACACACACACAGAGCTTGTTTGTCCCTGTGGATAGAGCTCCGTCCTCAGTGTACTGTACGCTGTAATGTCTTAGAGAACGTGTGATTAACAGACACAGTCACAGACACACTGACATTGTTTGGTTCTTCAATCCTTTTTTTCCCTAAATTTAATCATTTCATGTTTAACTTGTGCCAACATGAAATAATGAAATGCATCTGTTCTTCCATTATTTCTCTACAGGCGTGAGACGTCTGACCAATGGATCGGACTAGATTAGCTTTAGCCCCGCCCACAGACTTTGATGAAAGAACATTAATTCATGATGCAACACAGGACCATAAAATAATGATTAAAATAGTTATAAATAATTGTTTTTTTTACATAAAATGAAGTATTTTAATTTATTAATGACACGTTTAAATAATTAATTATGTTTTTATTTTTTAATTATTAACACATTTATGAATTTAATTTCACATTTAATAATTAATGACACATTTAAGTATTTATTCAACGATGCTTTTTACAATTTTATGTATTGTAACGTTATGTTAACTTTCAGTCCTCCATACTTTTGAGGCTAAAAATGTAGCTACATCCATATTGCTAACCTTTAACGCCCGCTGACGGTACTTTTGAGGCTAAAAATGTAGCTACAACCATATTGCTAACCTTTAACGCCCACTGTTGCAGCACATGCCTGTTTTCTTGCCTGGAATCTGTTTTTGTTAAAGCATCGTCTTATGGTCATTTTGAACAAATATTTACAGCCATTCCAACAGTTTTGTTGTTCATGTTCAGTGGGATCTCGTCCAAATCACACTGACACGGACGTCACATCACAGTCACATCACAGTCACATCACAGTCACATCACAGTCACATCTCCCAGAGGCGTCTGTGAGCCGAGCTGCTCAATCTTCAGGTGTGACAGACAGGATGGTAATGAGAAGTCAAGCCATGACCTGCACACACACACACACACAAATGTGCACAGAAACACACACGCGGACAAGGTTTGAATTAGCAGTTTGGCCATATGGAAGTGTGTGTGTGTGGGTGTGTGTGTGTGAGTGTGTGTGTGTGTGTGTGAGAGAGAGAGAGAGAGAGAGAGCGTGATCTCTGATCAGTATTCACCGCTGGCATTGGATCTCAGAGGCTTTGAGCACAGCCATCTGGGTAGAGGAGATACACACACACACACACACACACACACACTCATTATGATACAATAGCGCGCACACAAAGACAAAAATGGTATATCATATCACAAAAACACACCCAAGACAGAGCACACAAAGAGGTTTTGTCCATACAACACACACACGAACAAACACACACACAAACAAACACACACACAAACACAAACACAAACACACACACAGATTACAGGTATTTCCAGTTTGTCTAATTTGACTTCACAGAATAACAACCTGACACTGGTCTCTTCTTTGATTTGGTCGCAAGGTTTCTTCCAAAAAACCTCGATATTAACAAACATGCTTGACTTACACACACACACACACACACACACACACACACATTTTTCATGATAATACCAGACTAGCTCTAATGTTAACTAAAACAGCTGATATATATATAATATCTGATATTTCTGACCAAACATCTTGAATTAAATGTTTTAGCGCTCTGTGCAGATCCCCATTGATTTGAACTGTTTTACAGCTAAATGTTAGCACTGCCGCTACAGTCATGACGTTTTAGCCTCGTCGACTTCATAGCGTTTTATCTACGTATGGTTAAGATCAGACACAAATGAATCAGTCAATCTGATTGGATGTAACCCGGTCTAATCCAACTGATTCTCCATCACATCATCACCAACACTGTTGGGACCACATGTCCTCTGTGGACAAGGCCTCTGGGACACTCTCCTGACTTCAGACGACTGGTGTCGCTCTTGTTATAACGCTCGTATAATTCAAATTCCAAATGAATTACCATAGTCTTGTGGATTAGTGGGCTGACGTGAGTGTCGTACAGCCGTCCAGCAGCTGTTTCACTGATCTGGGATCAGGATTACATCAGAAAAACTTCATATGTTCAGATGTCTCCTGGTGTTTGGGTCCACATTCATTGAACCTCCTGTGTTCTGCTCTCTGCTGCGCTTCAATAACAGCTATTGGATTAGCCTCAGGTGGTGCTGCTGCAGGGACACCCTGAGACTGCGTGTGTGTGTGTGTGTGTGTGTGTGGAGGCTTCACCAGCGCTACAGAAATCGTTCTTTTTGATTTCCATGGCATCGAGAGGACATAATTTAAAAAGTGGCTTCTGAGGGGATTCCTGCTAATTACTTGCACATTTCTGTCTTCCTGTAGCTCCATTAAAGCCAGGCCACCAGCTCTGTGTGTGTGTGTGAGTGTGTGTGTGTGTGTGTGTGTCTGGCTGCTGTCTGACAGCACATCTCACTGCTCTTCATTTGTGGTGTTTCCCCACTGAAGTACAAAGACTGTGCGCCCGTTGAATGGTTGAATGGAGCAGAGAACAGATGGGAGACTAATGTTCATCTGACATGTCTGGGCCATTTCTGCCTCCACTCACCACTTCATCCACCGCACAGACGGCTGCGACCGTGCTATCACATCCCAGTCAGGACCATCAGCTGATCTTAGCCAGATGATAATTATTGGAATAACCGTTAAAGAGGCAATGAGTCATCAAGGTTTCCCATTAGTAAATGAACAGCCCACGATTTATTAGAAAGTCAGAAGAACATTAACTAATTATAAAATATCAAACTAATCTCTGAAATATCTGTCATGACCAAATAACTGGTTGAAAGAAGCCCAGAAACAGGTAGCAGTTAGCCGTGACTCTAAAGGTTAGCCAAATAAACAGGTAGCAGTTAGCCGTGACTCTAACGGTTAGCCAAATGTACCAAAATGTAATAAAACAAGCACATTAGCAAATACAGTAGATAGAATTTCTAAATAAAAACCAATTATTGCTAGCCCGTTGAAACAAGGTCTAAAAGTTAGCACACGCTAAGAACAAAATTGCTAACATTTCTTAAAGAACCACCAAAAAAAAACACTGAAATATATATTTTACATCTTTTCTTCATATTTTCTTATGATTCATTCTGTTGTGATAACAGTTCATGACCAACTCATTTTTGTTTTGTTTGTTTCTCTGAACCACTGACCAACCAGCGA